AGCCAACAGACTGCAATTTTCTGACACATCTCAAAAGTTACATTCACAATTATAACAGTATTGAGTTAAATAAAATACAGGAGTATCGAATACTCCAAAATATCAGAGAATATTGCAGGTCTCTTAAAACAACTGGAGCTCTGTGTGTGTGTGCACAAAACAAACAGGTCCAGCCAGTCGCTATTGCTACCCAGATAGGTCTGCTGTGGAACCAATAGATTCATAAGTTCTCTATTATTTTCCTTATTTTTTTATCAGAGATATTCTGTCTTGTCTTGTATTGTATATTGTCATTTACTTAATTCAATGAAGTACATTCTGGTATGAAATTCACGTGCGAAGAGAAATCCTAAAATAGAATGAATTACCCTCCCAAATGTCTGTGCGCCTTACAAGAAAATTAGATGGTGGCATAAACAGAAATTTGCTTATAGGGAAAGTACATGGACACGACAATATTATACACATTTTCACAGCTTCGTTCCTATCCAGTAGAAAAGAAATTTAGTAAGGACCCTCACTCAGCCACAGATTTACAGCTATATGTTAAGAAGAAGTAATTGAAGATGATCTAAGAATTGATTGTTTATGATACCTCCTTGATTGAAAAAAGCTAGTTATCCAGACAAATTTATCAAGAAACACCTGACAAAGAAAGCGGAAAAGTTGACTATTCACTATCCGTAAACAAGAAGGCTTTATATACATACGAATGAAATTCAAGTGTGGCATACTTGGTGGAATAATTATGAAGAATTGGTTGGGGGATTTCATCATAAGCTGACATCATTTAGAGAACTATTGAAAAACTTGCAGGGAGTACTGCCAGCCAGCTGTTTCATCAGCCTTGTTTGGGATTCTTCACCCAACCAATCAAACATAATTCCCCATAAAACCAATAATTGAAAATTAATCTGATCCCCACTAGCGACTGGCCCTATTCAGGCAGTTAACCTGGGCTTCTAGTAGGAAGCCGTAACCAGTAGGGTGCAGCAGGTTGAAGGTGAGGTTCATCGAAGAAGACATTGCGAAGTGTTCACGCTATGTCATGAATCGGTAGAAGTTGGGATTCATGGGCTCGTCACTGGATCGGGTCCCTGTGGCTGCTTGACGGTCTACGAGCTAGCTCGCTGGCCTTGTAACCGAAAGGTCCTAGGTTCAAACCCCAGTGGAGTGGGTGCGTACTGCTGAAGAGTCCCCAACTGGCACGAAACTGCTGTCCAGTACTCTCACGTGGTTTTCCAGTGGTTCTCTAACTGATGTCAGCTCATGATGAAATCCTCCAACCAATCAAACAAACGAAATTCCCTACAAAACCATTACTTGAAAATTGTCAAGAAGATATGAACATCAGTTCAAAGAACTTTTAATGCTGGAAAAATACACGTCTTATTTTCTATACGACCAACCGGTGGTGATTCCTTAATTGAAAGAAGAAGTACCCAGGCTAGACTAGCCACTTCTAATTGTATCCACAGATTCAACTGCAACTGCGCTTGTGGTGGAACGAGTTATATTGGCCGTTGCTCTAAGAACTTGACATTTCGTGCTCGCTCAGGAACATCTACTAGTGTGGTGTGGTTAAATAAAGGTGTGGTAAAAACCATCAACAGTTCGATATTCAACCACCTGGTCCAAGCCAACCACAAAGCCATAATTGAAGAATCATTCTCCATCATCATCTATCAGGTACCAAATAAATTTCCAAAATCATCGAGGTACCGCATACTCCAACTAGCAGAGGCTATCGCGATTCGCGTGAAACAACCAGTACTCTGTGTACAGAAGAAACATTTTCAACCAGCCACTACTACTGCCCTGGCTGGACTTCAGTGGAGACTATAAATTCATGAATTCTGTATTCTTATTACTTTTCCTAATTTTTCTGATATTCATTCACTGTAGTGTATTGTTATGTTGATGCTATCGAAGTGTAATCCACTGGTATTATTGCTATTACTGATTCGATGTCATTTAAACAACAACAATAATGCTATTAAATAACAATAATTCTTTAATTATTGTGGACATATAACTTGTAGGATCTGATGAAGAGATGTTATCGAAAAGGCCTTATCTATGTTGACCAATGCGTATTTATAGATGCGCTATGCTGATGAACGTCTCTTTGTATCCTACTACTGATAAATCTTATCAGTAGCACACACCACAACATTATGATTTTATGACAAGCTGTTGGTGATAATTATAGTAGACAGGTTGACTGGCTTTTTAATCCTTAGTCGATATTAGATAGTCAAAGGCAATCGGCCACAGACAGGAAGAAAGCCTTGTCAGGACATAGGTTCCATGCTACTTGGCACTCGTCAGCAAGGCGTATCTGCAAACTTGAAGGAACTGATGTCCCTTCTGAGATTCGAACCCGCATCAGACACGTTACCACTGAGCTATTCGGGCTGGCTCACGATTGACCTGCTGTAGGACTGACTGTATTGGATATGTTTGATTAGACACTAGTCAGTCAGTAACTAGTGTGAAGTGTCTAGTCCTTCGTTTGGTGCAGACTGAATTCTGTCAGCCAGGTTTTCAATGGGGCCACCATGCCACCACTAGGTAGCTCACCATCGAGGTGCACATTGATTGGATGATCATATTAGATGATGGCCACATTGCAAACCTGACTATCTGATAGAATTCAGTCTGCATCAAAGAAAGGATTAGACACATCACACTAGTTACTAACTAGTATCAGATCAAAGTAATCCTTAGTCGATATAATGGCAGTTGAAATGTTGTGAACAGTCTATTGTGCCTAATTCTCTCTCTTTGTGTGTGTGTGTGTGTTGTGAGGGGGTTTACTTTTTCTTCTCTCTGTCTTTTGTATTCCTATTTTAGGTCAGCTGATGCTATCTACTATGGGATTGTAAGTCGTCGACCAGGTTTAAGTCGTTTAGCAGCTGCTCAGTATACACAGTTAATGCTCTATGAAGATGCCGACTGTGCTATGCTACGGATGATAGAATGTTTCACTGAATCTGCTCCCCAGCTTTTATTACAACTGTATATTATCTTGACACAACCTTATCCGATAAAGAAATATCAAGGTATATATATATATATATATAATATGTTATGTATATATATTAAAATTTATAATAATCAGTTTCATTTCTTCCGCTTTACTGATAATCATTCTCTTTTCAAGTATTGATATTTTTTGTAGATATTTTGTTTGATTTATTGGTATGCAGATTTTATCATGAGCATTGATATCGTTTGGTTAGAGAACCACCATTGGGAAATCGGCAGGGAGTACTGTCAGATAGACAGCTGTGCCGTTAGCCTAGTTTGGGACTCCTCAGTGCAGAAGCTAGAATTCATAGACTGGCTGGTCATTGCATCGGGTCTCAGCGAGTGGCTGCTTGATGGTCTACGAGCTAGCTCACCTTGTAACCAAAAGGGGGTCCTGGGTTCGAACCGCAGTCGGGTGGGTGCGTATTTCTGAAGAGCCAGGCTGATGAAACACCTGGCTGTCCATTACTCCCACGTGGTTATTCAAGGGTTCTCTAACCAACCGATATCAGCTCATAATGAAATCCTCCAACCAATCATTCTCTTTGTTGATGTATCCTCGCTGTTTCTCCGCTTTTCATCCTCATTGTCTTTAATTCTACCGCAATTAACAAGGGAACTGGAATGTTTGTTTATTGGCGAAAATGATCTTTTGTAGACTGAATGACATTCAGAGTACAGATTGTGGCACAGTTAAACAATAGCGTCCCAAGGGATGAGAAACGCACGAGTGACGTTTAGCGACAATCAACCATAAAAATAAGTGACTTTTGTACAAAATGACGTTTATTTACAAGAAAATGCAGACAAAAGCACATTAAACAGGGCATCTTTCTCTGACATGACTTAAAAATACATCCCAGTTATAATAAGGAGTATCAGTTGCCAAGTTAGACTAGTTTGTGTACATGTATTCACCGAAGTGACTGAAGGTGAGCTGGTTTTCTGACCCGTTTATCCCTAGCCAGCTGTTTCGTTAACGTAGTAAGGGACAGGCTCTCCAGCAGTACGCACCCACTTCACCGCCTGGGCTCGAACCCAGGACCTTCTAGTTATAAGGCGAGCTAGCTGGTAGATCATTAAGCCACTCCCAGGGATCCGATCCAATGACCAGCCAGTCCATGAATTCTAACTTCTACCAGCAATTGACACATGACACAGCGCGACCACTTCAGTTGCAATGTCTTCTTCGATGAGTAACTGTCCTCACACACCTTCAATCTACTGTACCCTACTTGTCATTTTTGTTGTTTATTGATCTCTTTAGATGTCTTCAGTATCTCTAAACTGTTTTATTCATCTTTCCTGCTCTCTTTCAGTAACTGCACAATTTGTTTCATGTGCCTTTTCATGGTTTTCATTGGCATGGTCATTAACTTACTATCAATCTGCACTGCGTAGTTCACGAATCGAGAAGGCGAATATGCCATCCAAAGGATTATGCTTATTTGTTCTTTGGAAGGCAGGTGTACTACTCTCAAGATTATTAGCTCTGGGCGTACTCGCTGCTGTGGTCAAAGGATTTTGGTTCACACTAGCCCTTTGTATGCATTGGTTATTCGCTTCAGGCTGGTTAATCACACGAGGGACAACATTCTGTTCATCAAACTCACGAACATGGCGAGAAGTCATCTTCGACTTTGTCTTAGGCGCTGTGTATTGTTTTGATGTTGTGAATATACGTGAGGGTACTAGTCGTTTATGGTATTTGTCGTGTTATCTAGTCATTGGTATTGAAAATATATTGTGTGCTTGTCTTGGGTGGTGGTGGTGGTCGTCATCGTCGCCAAATTCTTTGATTCATACACACTGGTGGAGTAAACATCTATTCAACAAGAAACAATCATCCACTTGGATTTCTCTATTCCCTGCTTATACTGTCCCGAGTATTGTGATATGCAGTTTTTGTATAGGAATTATCATGATGGCCGTTTACTACACTACAGCTCATCCATCAGGAGAGATTCGGGTATGTGAATTGATAAACTCTCAGCGTGTGTGTGTGTTTTCGTAATATATATATATATATATATATATATATATATATATATATATATTCAAGTATTGGTTTTGTAGGGATTTTCTTTGATTGATTGGTTGGAGGATTTCATTATGAGCTGACATCCGTTGGTTAGAGAACCATTGGAAAATCTGCGGGGACTACTGCCAAACTGAGAACTGTTTCCTCCATCCTATTTTGGGACTGGCTCTTCAGCACCCACCCCACTGCCAGGGTTCGAACCCAGGACCTTTCGCTTGCAAGACGAGCGACCTCGTAGACCACTCACTGTGACATAATCCAATGGCCAGCAATCTATTCCATCAATTCCAACTTCTGACAATTCACGCACGATAAAGTGCGACTGGCACTAGGCAATGTCATCGGTGGCGGCAAGTATTTGTCCTCACGCGCGACCAGCTGTACTCTGCTGGCTTCCCACTAGGTAACTGCCTGAATGGATCCAGTCGTTAGTGAGCATCAGATCAGTTTTCAAGGATTGGTTTGTAGGGATATTTTTGACAGGTTGAAGGATTTCATCATGAATTGACATCAGCTACAGAACCATTGGAAAACCTGCAGGGAGTACTGCTAGACAGCTGTTTCCTCCGTCCTAGTTTTGGGTGGGCTCTTCAACAGTACGCGCCAACCACAGTGGGTTCGAACCCACGACCTCCTGGTTACAATTTGTGTATCTAAACCCCTTCCTGAAATAACTCAGATGAAATACATAGGTCAAAGGAGTAGAACGGGTGCACCACTGGAAAACCTAACTGATGTCAGCTCATGACGAAATCCTCCATGCAATCAAACAAAATCCCTACAAAACCAATACTTGAAAATTAATCTGATGCTCACTAGTGACTGGCCCTATTTAGGCAGTTAACCTGGGGTTCTAGTGGGAAGCCGTGACCAGTAGGGTACAGCAGGTTGAAGATGAGGCAGTAACTCATCGAAGAAGACATTGCGAAATGGTCGCGCTATGTCGTGAATTGGCAAAAGTTAGAATTCAAGTGGTTCTCTAACTGATGTCAGCTCATGACGAAATCCTCCATGCAAAATCTAGATTAGCTGATCCGAATAAGATAATAAGAAATCTGGAAAATAGTTCAGTTGTAGCACTCACTGCATGCAACCACACACAAACATACAACATAGTATGATGGGATAAGATGACAGTCTTCAAATGTAATATGAAACAGGGTGGAGGGAGAGATTGATATCGGAAGCTTTGTTTGTTGAATCAACCGAGACGGAGGAATACGTGTAATAGGAATTATTCAACACCTGTCCACCCGGACATCTGTAAGACGACAAAGAAAAGTTTCGAAGTTGTGTGTGTGTGATTATAATTGATGAAATGATTATGAATAATAAATAAATTGTGTTCAAAAGTTGTCGTCCAGTAAATAATACTGTTTCACTGTGTGTGTGTATATCTAATAAACAAACTAATATGGAGTTACTTACTATCACAATGCTGCCCAAGTTTTGTACATAAATTAATGTAACACCATTTCACAATTTCAACAAATTACGTCTTCTTATCATTACTTTGTGTCTAACTAACTAAATTCATTAAGGGAAACTAGTTGTTTTGAATTAATGGATATATATATATATATATATATACGTATATACATATATATATATATATAATTCATAGAATTGGAGTAGAACTCAGCGTGTACAGTGGAATGAATATAAGCCGCTGAATCAGTGGTTAAAAAGATTATTTCTCTTTCAGAAATATTTCTGTCAAATTTAGGCTAAATGCATCAGTTAAACACTTGCCAGTTCATTGTACGCACTCATGACTTGATATAAGTATAAAACTTGGGCACTGTGGTAGAGTATAACTCCATTATGGATAAGATTTTATTTTGATAAATCACACAGTGTTGTACAGTAATATTAACTGATGACGTCTCGACCACAAACTATTACTCATAGTGATATCAAGTGATTTATCAAAATAAAATTTTATCCATAATGGGGTTGCACTCATGACTTCATTGTAAAATAAAGTGTCAAGTGTTTCGTTATTATATTTTAATTATCTAGTTATGTGTTCCGTGTGATGAACTTATGAGTAATGATACTCGTCAAAATTCATTATCCAATGAAATTCCTGTTCCTCCAAGTACTCAATTGGTGTAGATTGTCGATTTTTTCTACTTTGTGAGTGAGTAAGTTAAAGTTTAGTATGCAAGTATTTTTTTGCTGTGGTTGTTGTTGTTATTATTAATGATATCTCTTTCACATATTTTATTTTTTTATTTCGCTAACAAAAACACCATTTTCTTTTGATGTAGTTGTTTCCTCTGAGCTGGATAGTTTATTTTCAGGGTCTATCATAGAGCCGGGGTACGACTGGTCCATTGGATTTGATTCGCCATTGGTCTTGTTTTGTGATCTGACCTGTTTTGGTGGCCTTGTTTAAGGTTCTTTGGATGCGGTTGTCTAATGTTTTTATGAGATTTGTTGTGAGTTGTTGACAAACATTCTTATCTTCGAGTAGTTCTTCAGCTTTCTTGGTGCGTATTCTTCTCTGTCGATGACTACTGTTGTTCTTCCCTTTGTCAGCTGGTAAAACAACGATGTCCTTCTTATTTTTCAGCTTTTTAAGGGCCTTTAGGTCTTGAGAGTTGAGTTGTGTGTGTGTTGTTGTTGTTCTATGTTTGACCATTGGTACGATTGTTTGGCGTATCTCTTCTTGTGTTTCCTCGTTCAAGTTCGATGATTTGAGTGATGATTCAAGGGCAGCGAAGAAGTCAGTTTTTGAAGCGTCTTCAGTGTTGTAGTTTAATCCTTATTGTAGTAGTTGTTGTTCCACTTTTCATAGTGGTTGTTTTGATAGGTAGGTTGACTACGCAGTAGTCAATAGGTGCATTGTTTGGTTGTTGTTTTCTAATTTTGACTAACTTCGTTGTGAGAACTTTCCATCTTTGTTCTCTCCCTGTGTCTCCTACTTGACATTGCAATTGCGGTGATCAGAGTTGACAGGTGTTCCTGGTTAAGGGCGTGGTTTTCTCTAGTTTTTCTTTTTGGACATCCATTATTTGTTGATATTTGTTGATCCCATAATGTGCATCTGTAATCATTAATTTGACCATACGTCTTCCAAATTGTTCGACCGGCCAATTTTTATCCCATTGGGCAGTTGACTGGTGGTTTGCATCTGACACTGGTTGGTAGGATTTGATGACTGAGGCACTCATGAGAAAAAAATAGTTGTTCTCTGGTGGATCCTTGCATTTTGGCGAAGTCTTCCCACTTTCGAACAGAAAGAAGCGTGTTCCGCTCGTAAGATTTAGATATGATGGAGAAGATTTGTAGCTCAGGTGGACACAACTACATCAAAATCATCCACCTGAGCTACAAATCTTCTCCATCATATCTACACCGTCTTTTTAAAAGTGTAGCAGATATGTTGGGAGAAACATTATTCCATATTATCTGACCGAAATTGCACGAGCTGAATAGTTCTGCTAGTTGATCGATTATGGATGACCTTAGGCGTATGGTCACACATACATAGCGAAATATATATACTTTAAAAATAGTACAAGGACAAATACAAAATGGAACGAACTCACCGGATTTTTCTACGTATTTACCAAAGAGGAAGTTCGTTGTAGGGCTTACCAGTTAAGAGGCTAAGGGGGGGTTGACGTTCACGGATAGTACGAAGTATACTAACGCGCGCGATCTAATACCCGCAACTTCTATAGCATTCATTCCACGTAGACCAAAGGTAAAGCTAAACACCAGAATTGATGTGATTGATTACGAATTATATTTCGGGACCAAATTGGAGTGCGATATGATTGCTTAACTAGCTAGGGATCGTGCACGAACGAACGAACGAACGTAACAGGACAGCGTGTTATATGGCGTGGATGGATGCTTGACCGGAAGCCTTCAGCTAAACAAGTTGACTTAAAAAGTGAGGGTCAGCATCCAATGTTCCGTGATGAACGCTGTAGCCAGTAATTCTGAGGAATTACCTACCGCTACACTGTTGTATCACAGCGATCGAGTTCGTATTTCAAAAAAAGATGCATATTGAGTCATGCTGTTATATTTACTTCAGTCGCCCAGGGAATCACCTTCTGCTTACTAATCTATTTCGCAGAATCACAGAACGCTAAATCGACTACACCTAACGCCATATAACTGGACTGTCATATGTCTAATCAGGAGACACAACACTAAGATGTCGCAGTTCACGAATTGTTCACATATCTGTATACAGCATATACATTTCAACACTAAAGTTTATCACGACACCTGAATATAAAGCCGAAAGATGGACGACTGTAGCTGCTATTGGGTTAGCAAACTGACCAAAAAAGCACCGACTTTTAAGACTGGAACTATATACCCTCACCTAGTGTAAAAACAACAAGAACGCTAACAGTTCAAAACATTCAGAAAGACAGATACTACCGAAGGGGGGCATTAAAGTCTCTCGGAGAAACCGATGGTGAGTTACCAGTAAGAGGATGGTGATACAGGTGTCGTGCAATACGCTTTTTTATTAATGAAATTCCCTGGTGGACGATGTCACAATTCTGTTAGTTGGTAGCTTAATAAATAACTACTTGGGTTTCACAAAATAAATGTAGCTTAAGTAATCTCGTTAAATAAGAAAAATTATAAAACATTTTAAAATAATCCCAACGTGTTGGAGAACAAAAAAAGGAAAATCAAAACAAGATCTGTTTTCTGAATATTTCGCTGTGTAAGCCACCACACCGCCTTCCCATTCATCAGCAACAGCAGAATTATTAGGAAATTCATTAGCCATGAAAATTCTATAAGTCACTCAAGTTTGCAATGTTGTCACCAACAGGCTAGGTGGCTGGCTCGCTATCACGGTGTACATTGATTTGGTGGTGATATTGGATGGTTGGAGGCAGTCAGCCACAGGAAGGAAGCCTTGCTCGACCTAGGTTTTGCGCTATTTAGCCCTCACCAGTTATTCAGTCAGTCAGCAAGGTGTGTTCTGCAACCACATTGAAGGAACAACTCATGTCCCTCCATCTGAAATTCGAAACCGCACGTCCCCACCCAGTAATTACTGCAGTGAGTTAGAGACGTTACCATCACTGAGGATCTATTCGAGCTGGCTCGCGATTGACCTCCTGTAGGACTGATTGTACTGGATATACTTTGATTGGACACTAGTCAGGCAGTAACTAGTGTAATGTGTGTGTGTGTATCTAGTCCTATCTTTGGTGCAGACTGAAAATTCTATCTGTCAGTAATCGATATTTTTTGTGCTAGTATTTTTCTCTTTTTTCTATTTATGAACTTCTTTAGATGATCGTGCGAGATATATATTCAAAATATACTTCCAGTTGTGATGATCACAGGATGGATTTAGTTGTCACAACGTTTCATCTCCTGCAAACAACCACAAGTCAACTGTCGACGAAGAAGAATGCCAATTCATCTCTCATATATGTAAATGAGATAAAGACAAATTTATAGTTTGTTTTTTTACAGTATGAAGACAATCCATTTAGTGTATATAGTTTTTGATTTTTCATATGTGATTTTCATATGTTTCACTCAATTGTGTACTGAAACTTGTTTTTTTACAATGATCCTTTTGACTTCTTCTATGATAGTGTGCATGTGTTGCTTAATTCATCGAAATAAAATCTCAAAATAGAGTGAATATCGTTCGTTATATTGTGTAACAGCAGGAAGCAAAGACACAGAAGCTAAGGTATGTATTATCATGGGATCAGACCGCTATTTATACTTATATCTATACACAGTTTATATTCTCTTACCAATTATCACTGAGCGAGCGTGTGATTTTGGTTTACATTAAACGACATGAAATAGGATGTTCAAATATATACATACACAGCATAGTATTCTGTTGCCAATGCAGTATTGAACTGTAAGAATAATATTCCATTGGAACACACTGTCTGTATAACACCAGCATACTCGTCCCACCTCACCGTCAAAAACTTCCGCCTGAAGGTGGTCCGAACTTCATGGTTTTGGAGTCTTTGTTTGCTTATTTATCTTGCTGTATGTATTGCTGGAGCTCGGTGACGTTCACCCGCTTCTCTTTGTTTGCATTTCTGATGGTATATACGTGACTGTGTGTCTCGCGGTGACCGTGTATGATGCTTCTCGCTTAGGAAGAAGTTTGCATGACCCTGGTTGGCTGGTGCGTATTCGACGGTGTTTCGCCTCTCATTATCATATGCTGCCTTCGTTCAACCTCTGCTCTGAGCAACGCTCTAAGTGAAAGCCTCTTCGCTAATGGATCTTGAACACCATTCATCTAGGCAACAGCCTGCAAGAAGATGCATATGTCTTCTCCAAAAAAAACTGCAGGCCATGGGATTATTTTTACTCGGCAGGCAGCAACACCAAATGTAACACAGCAGAAGGCAAGACACGGAATCAAAAGTAATGAACTGTGGGAATAGTATTCTGACTCTATCAACAAATGCAATGTTGAAATAGACATATATATTATTCTGTTGTTAATGCACTATTGAACTGTGGGAATAGTATTCTGACGTTAACGTTAACGCAAATACAGTGAGTCTTACTGTGAGAATAATATTCCTTTGGAATCCACTGTTGTCTGTTTCACACACCAACCCAATGGTTGTTAGCTAACTGTATTTAGGAGACTTACTTGTACATAAATCAAATGCGAACCCTCCTCCCCTCCCCTGCTCCGATATATGTATGAGTTGTACAAAAAAGCAAATAGTGATATTCCCATGTCAGATATTGTGTGTTCTGAGGCGGTTCAGCTTTAGCCTTCTATATGGTTTTATTTAAAGCGTTGATATTGGGAATTAATCTCCTCCTGCAGGAGAATGACAGCAAGATTCGATTCCAAAGGTTTTAGGAAAGTTACAACTACCGAATGCTCTACATACCGACAAATAACTCTGAACAATAGAAGAAATATATATTATTATTCAAACACAGAACTCCTGGTACAATATGGCACTAAGAAGATGGAACACACAATCATAATAAAAAAAACATAGATTAAAAGTGAAAATATAGGTGTAGAGAACGGATAAAGAACTTCATCTGGAAGGAAAACAGTCATATTTAACAATTATTGTCGGAAAGGGAAGAAAGAAGGAAATTGCAGCACGACATTCGCCACAGATGATTACGATTCTTGGCCATATCCGATAATGTTTCAAGCTAGTCACCGGTTCGAGCCACTGTCTCTCGGACTCCAACCAGGAATTCGTGATGCACCAACTGATGCTAACTTAACATAACTGTCCTCACTCCCATGACGCCACATCATGAGCTGACCACCTCTCCGCTTTTTCCATCCTGTCCCAAGGCTGGCTAGTGAACAAACAGAGAGCTTTAGGGAAGCCTTTGGGATGACATTCGCAGCACATATCCCAGTTGGCAACACTCAACGAATGGTGATCTCCACTGTGTCCAAACACTCCACCGGACCTCAAGATTACTCACATGATGATAATGCCATCGAATGCAAGCAATCCTGCAGAAACAGCAATGATTGAATACACAGAGTCACTGCACATTCTCAGCTTACCCGGACAGGCCAGGTTTCACAGGCGTAGAGTAGGACAGCCCACACCGAAGCATTGTACACCCGACCTCTGACAGCCAAGCTAACGTCGCGACGGTGGTGGTCAGAGGTGGCTCAAGTTAACCTGTCATCCTAGCTTTCATGATACGGTTGGAAGTCTATTCGTCACACCTCATCTCTACCAGCAATCAGACAAGAGAAAAAGGATGAGTTCAACTGACAAGAAACCAAAACCTAATTGGTAATATGAAAACTGAACTGGGAACAAACAAAACAAGAAGTGACGTCGTAAGACTCTTGGCGTAATGAATGAGAACGCAGAACTCTTCACATACTTGAGTAGACAACATGTACAAACACACAAGGTAACAGAGGCTTCAGCTGGTGACGTACACATCAAATATCAGATAGACTGTTTTTGTCTTTCCCCTCACCATGCTATATCAACAGAACGTTAGACTCAACAATCTATAACATGCTAAAATTTCCAAACTGAATCGATAATACTCTCTGAAACAAACTCACTGTTATTGTTATTATTATTATATTTGTTATTCTTATTTTGTACTTCGAATATTTTTGACTTTATACAGTAAATGTGAACAAATTCCTCTGGTTAATTTCGTTTGAATTTTATTTATATTTTAAATAAATCAGATGCAATATAGTGATAAAAGCTGGGAATTACTATATGTGTAAAACTTGGGCACTGTAGAAGTAAGTAATCCCATATTTTAGGTTTCCAGGCCGTAGGTGTTACGAACTTCCTGGAATAATTTGAGCGCCGAGTCAGATTGATTCATTATAAATTTTTAAATATTCCCATTTATAATATTAGAACAAGACATATAAGCGAACAATATTGTTTTCAATTAGATCTTCTTCAGGCTTTACTCTAATTTACATAGATTTATATATAAAATTTTAACCAATGACGGTGATTTTGGGAATCAAATAATAATCTTAATAGTCTTAATAATAATAATAATAATAGTAATAATAATAATGTGGTAAATGTTTTGAACATAGTTAATAACGATGATTATAATGATAACAAAATGTTGATAATAAGGTTTATGCAGGTGATAAGAATAACAAAGATAGTATCACCTGCATAAACCTTAATATCAATATTTTGTTATCATTATAATCATCGTTATTAACTATGTTCAAAACATTTACCACATTATTATTATTACTATTATTATTATTATTATTAAGACTATTAAGATTATTATTTGATTCCCAAAATCACCGTCATTGGTTAAAATTTTATATATAAATCTATGTAAATTAGAGTAAAGCCTGAAGAAGATCTAATTGAAAACAATATTGTTCGCTTATATGTCTTGTTCATTATAAATTATTTTTAAAATTAATCCCAGCGTGTTAAGAAAATCGAAACAAGATTTTTCTGAACGTTTCGCTGTGTAAGTCACAGCTTCTTCAGCAGATTTATTCAGATTTTTATTATTCATCAAAATATATAGTCAAATTTTACATAAATTGAAGTCAGTTTATTTGAAATTCATTTGTCCATGGACATTTTTACCAATAGAAAAGATGTAAGCAGTCATCACATATATTTGTAATGACTAATGTCAAATTGTTGTTGTGTATACTCTTCTATAGTTGATTTGTAAAGATTAGTTTTGTATGAGTGTGTGTGTGTGTGTGAATGTATGTATGTTATTTGTCATGTGAAAAATACGTGAATTCATATGTGATAAACAAGATACTACATGTTTTAAAAGGCCATGGAGTCTCATAGAGTGTTTACTGATTTTTTTTCATCTGTCTTGCTTCATAAGAGTTTGCCGTATAGGTGATTAGTCTATCCCTTCTTTCCTATTCACTGCATTCGATGTGGTTGAAATGTGCAAGGCTTCAGAAGTCAATCTTTCTTTATGTGAATGAAATCCTCTTCCGAGAATTTCGACATTGTCGAAATCAATCTTATTTCCGTTGTCTATCGCATGCATTGCTATAGCCGATCTTTTTTCTAGACTTTAGTTCTACTTCACAAATCTGCTGAAGAAGCTGTGGCTTACACAGCGAAACGTTCAGAAAAATCTTGTTTTGATTTTCTTAACACGCTGGGATTAATTTTAAATAATTTATAATAATTCCATATTAGTTTGTTTATTAGATATATCACACACAGTGAAACAGTATTATTTACTGGATGACGACAACTTCCGAACAAAATTTATTGTTCATAATCATATCAATTATAATCACATACACACAACTTCGAAACTTGAGTTTTATAGTTTTCTTTGTTCTCTCCTCTCTAGATCATCAGTAGTAATTCCATACAAGGAAGGAACCTCGGAAACCTTACGCAGAATTCTTAACAAGGCAGGAATAAAAGTGGCTGGCATTCAAACCACCCACAAACTCAATTAGAAACAAACTTTGCCGGCTAAAGGATCCCGCCAGTGGAGCCAATAAAACAAAACAATTTAGTTTATCTAATACCCTGCCTGCAATAATTGTCAGGTCAAAGTAGTAGAACAGGGGCACAGTCAGTCAGACTAGCTGAGCATAAAATCCTAGAAGCAAAATCTAGATTAGCTGACCCGAATAAGGTAATGACAAATCTAGAGAATAGTTCACCCATAGCACTCACTACATGCAATTACACACAACCATACAATATAGGAGGATGGGATAAGATGACAGTTTGTTTTAAAATCTAATGTATTAGGGCGGGTGGAGGGAGGGAGAGGTTGATAACGGAAACTTTGTTTATCGAATCAACTGCAAATACGTGTAATAGGAATGATTCAACACCTGTCCACGTCGACATCTGGAGAATTCTACTACCACGCCTACGACGATAAATAGGAGAGAATAGAGAAAACTATAAAACTCAAGTTTCGAAGTC